CTCCTCCTCCTCCTCCTCTTCCTTGTCCTTCCTTATCCCAGGAGAGGAGGAAGCCCAACAGCGCCGCAGAAAGAGCAAAAAAGGCCAGCCTGCCAAAGGGAGCAACAGCGAGGTCCTCCAATTGTCTCCGTCTGCCTGGTGTCGCGCTGCTCCAGCCAGGATGGTGGAGTAGTACTCGTTGTAGTCCAGGCGGGTCGCAAGATTACTAAGGAAGGGCTCGTAGCGAGTGGTGGACTCCTTGTGAATCTGCTGCAGAAAGCCCTGAAGCTGGCTCTCAAAGATGACCTTGAACTTCGAAATCATCTTGGAGTAGTGTTTCTGGGAGAGGAGCGCCAGAGCCGCGGGTCAACGATGCGCGCGACCATCAGCAGAGAGTTAATCAGGCCATTGGGAGGAGGAGGAGGAAGGACTACAACGGAGTAGTGGAGGAGAGGGATGAAGGGAAGGGAGGAACAGGGCTGGGGGTGGAGAAGAGGGAGGAGGAAGAGAAGAGAATCGCGGGGGAAAGGGGACGAGGAACAAGGAGAGGAGAGGGGGATTGGGAGGGGGCTTCCTCCATTCCTTCCTCTTATAAATAACTTCTCCCTGTCGCACCCCGAGGCCAGTTTTTAGGGCGGACCGGGCGTTTCGCCTGAGACTTCCTCACCATTTATGACCCTGCAGCTGAAACATTGGCAACAGCTTCACAGATGGAGGGCGGGTGGTTTTCAAAATGTGGCTCTCGCCTTAGCGCCGCGCACCTTCGTTTTCTTTAAATGCTTAGCGCCGCGCACCTTCGTTTTTTTTTAATTGCAAGAGCTTCACGGATTACATAAGGGTGGCTCCGTTTTCAAAATGTGGCTCTCGCCTTAGCGCCGCGCACATTCGCTTTAAGAACTTGCAAGAGCTTCACGGATTCCCATGATCAACGTACCAGATATGATATTTTGGAAGGACTCTGGATTTTGAGGGTGCAACAGTAACGTTGGCTCGCAATGTTGAAGTCCAAGGGTGCAACAGTCACGTTGCCTCGCAACGGTTGTCTTCCGAAGAGGCAGTTCCCTCAGTGTGGAAATGAACCGTTGTAGGGGCCTATGAAGTGGAACCTTGGAGTGAGGGTTTATTCCAACATCGTTGATGACTCTTGGGTTTACGCTGGTCCTCCTCCTCCTCCTCCTCCTCCTCTTCCTCCACCTCCTCCCGCACGGGAACGGCTGACGCCGAAGGCGGCACAGATAGGTCTCCGTGCTCTGCGTGACGCGCTGCATGCGCCGCTCGGCCAGCGACTGCGACTGCTCCGGCTTCCCGTCGGGGTCTTCTCGGGAGAGTCGCCCGGCTTTTTGACCCGCACCCCCCTCGCCGTTCCCGCTCCGCCCCCCATCCCCAAGGGGAGGGGTTCCCGCCTGAGACGCCCTCGCAATTCACCCACAGACGAGGCTCCCGCTCAAGCCTTCTGCTAAATTCAGGCCTGAAGAGCCAAAAAGTGACGACATTTATAAGTTTCCTATGACCCACCTCGGATTCGAACGTGAGGTGCGCGCCCCATGAGGAGGGGGCTCCCGCTTGGGACTTCCTCGCGACTCACTCACAGAGGCGCCCTCCAGATCGATGATCCTGGCGGGATGGTAACTGTGATGACGATGGTGGTGTGCGATGGTGATGATGACGGCGATGATGATGATGATGATGATGATGATGATGATGATGACCAATCATCATGGCGGGGTCCTGGCATGATGACGAATGAATAAATGATAAGGGAATGTGAGTGAGAGAGTGTGCATGGTGACGATGATCATGACAATGATGATGATGATAACGGTGGTCATAATAGGATGGTGGTAGTGATGTTCATGGTGGTGCGTGATCATGGTGATGACGATGATTGCGCTGCCGATGTGCGGGATGACAATGATGATGGTGTGGCGGAATGACAGATGAAGATGATGATGTCTGTGATGATTGTGATAATGATGACGGTGATGATGGTGATGATGATGGTGATGGTGGTGATGATGATGGTGATGATAATGATGGTGATGATGAGGACGATGATGATGGTTCCTGTTCCTGCGCGGGGTGTCCAAAGAAAACAAGAACCGCCTGTAGGATTTTCGGAAGACTTACAATTTGTCACCGCGATTGCAGCGGTAGGTGTGTGTCGGGCCCTCTAGCTCCTTACGAAGCAATAGTTGGAGCCCCCCGACGCATCGAGCCTAAGATGCGTTCGCGTATATGACCAAGTCCTTACGCGTTTGGCCTTCCAAGCAGAAAATGTGCCCAACAAAACAATAAGGGAAGGGACGTTCAATGCACCACCTCCGCCCTTGGCGCCCGCCCCCCCCCCCCACCCCACCTTGGGCGCCCGCCCGACCGCGGTGGCGGAATCGCGCAGCAGCGCCACTGGATAACACTTCGGATGCCATTGCCGCCGCCCCCGCCAACGCCATTATTTCTGCGACTACAGCTAGGAGTACGACTACGACTACGAAATACTGCTGCTGCTACGACTACTACTACTACTACTACTACTACTACTACTACTACTACTACTACTGCTACTACTACTACTACTACTACTACTACTACTACTACTACTACTACTGCTACTACTACTACTACTACTACTACTACTACTGCTGCTCCTGCGACTGCTACTGCTACGACTACGACTACTACTACTA